CTTATCATAGGTCATGTTCACATCACGAAGCACCACGTGTGACACTACAAGGAAAGGAAGTACGACTATGCTTGCCTAATTGACACGACTCACATGCCAAACTAGACAATTTAGATAAGGCAGGGACAAGTTGTTGTAACTTGGCAAGACTTGGATGACCTAACTGAGCATGGAGAAGAGAGGGAGACTCTATAACTGCACCAACATGTGTAAAGGGACGAAGATGATAAAGACCATGAGACTCACATCCTGTGCCAATCACCTGTTTCGAACTCCGGTCCTGTAAACACACAAAATTGTTGGTAAAAGAAACAACACAATCAAGAGAACGAGTTAGACGACTCATGGATAACAGGTTAAAAGGAGACCCAGGGACATAAAAAACATTATCAATGGTTAAAGAAGGAAAAGTTTAACAGTTCCAACACCATGAGATGATACTCTAGAGCCATCAGCTAGTGTAACAAAAGGTAAAGGATCAGGAGAGGATAAAGAGGAGAACAAAGATTTGTTACCAGTAATATGATCGGTGACTCCTGAATCAAAAACCCAAGGACCGGAAGAAGATTGGGTCGGACCAAGCAAAAGATGTACTGTGTGTGCGGCAGACACAGTGGAACTAGAAGACTGTTGATCCTTATACCATTTGAGAAATTTGTTGAACATAGCAGGTGTGTCCGATGAAATAGAAGAAGGAGGATCCTTAGCAGATAAAGGTGGGGAAAGATCAGTCTGAGCAACTGCAGTAGATCGAGTAGGACGACCATGTAATGCATAACACTTGTCAATCTTGTGACCTAGTTTGCCACAATGTTCACACTCATGTAATGCATAACACTGGTCAATCTTGTGACCTAGCTTGCCACAATGTTCACACTTAAGACGCCTTTTTCCCTGTTTGCGAGGACGAGTTCGATCATCACGGTGAGATACCAATGCAGAAGAATCATTAACAGAAGCAGGTGTGTCAGGGTTGGGTTTTGCTGGTATACGCAAAAGAGTGGAGCATGTTGGATGTAGAAATTGATCATGCCACCAGAATTATTGATGCACTAGCCTTTACAGACCAACAAGCCCAACATGATAAACATCCAATTCAAAGGAAGGGAGTTCTTGAACTTAACAACTCAGATGCTATAATGGTGTCAAACATAATATCATTTTAATAATAATAACATAATTTGTTTTCTTCATCATAATTTGCATGCATATAAATAAAGAAGAAAACACAAATTTTAGAAACTTATACATTAAAGATCTCAGAGTGTCACATAAACATTAATAATAACATTAACATTCAACATTCACAACTAGTAAACATAATGCCCATATTTACTATATGGCCAGCAAACAACTTGGACGGTAATCCCTTTATTAAAGGATAAATAATCATAAGATCAGTGCTAATATGTTCTATTGACACTCTCTGTTTCTGAACTTCCTCTTTAACGACAAAATATTTCAATTCCATATGCTTAGGACCTTTGGAATACTTGTCGTTCTTAGAAAAGAAGACTGCTGCAGAATTGTCACAATAAATTTTCAGCGGCTTGGTAATGCTATCGACTACTCCAAGTCCTGAAATAAAATTTCGCAACTAATTAGCTTGAACTGTGGCCTCAAAGCATGCCACAATTTCAGCTTCCATGGTGGATGCAGCAATAACAGACTGCTTCACACTTTTCCATGAAATTGCTCCTCTAGCTAAAAGATAAACATAACCAAATGTAGACTTTCGTGTATCCATACAACCAGCAAAATCTGAATCTGTATATTCAATCACCTCAAGGTGATCAACTTTCTTATAAGTAAGCATGTGATTCTTTGTTCCTTGTAAGTATCTTAAAACTTTCTTTGCAGCCTTCTAATGATCCAGTCCAGGATTACTCTGGTATCTACCCAGCATACCAACTGCAAAACTAATATCTGGCCTTGTACATGTTTGAGCATACATCAAACTCCCAACAACAAATGCATAAGGGATATTTTCCATCTGTTTCCGTTCCAAGTCATTCTTTGGACATTGCATGAGACTAAATTTCTCTCATTTCTGTATTGGAATGGGAGATGCTGAACACTTCTCCATTCTGAATCTCTCTAAAATTTTATTAATATATGCTTTCTGAGACAAACCTGACAGTCCTTGTGATCTATCACGAAATATTTCTATTCCTATCACATAGTATGCCTCACCCATATCTTTCATTTCAAAGTTGTTAGAGAGAAACTTCTTAGTCTCACTTAATAGACCAAGATCATTAGTCGCAAGTAAGATATCATCAACATACAGAATCAGAAATATAAACTTGCTCCCACTGACCTTCAGATATATACACCGATCAACAGTGTTTTTCTTAAATCCAAAGGACATAATAGTATCATTGAACTTAAGATACCATTGTTGAGAAGCTTGTTTAAGTCCATATATTGATTTCTTAAGTTTACACACTATATGTTCATTTCCTTTTTCAATAAACCCCACTAGTTGATTCAAAAGGAGATTATATCATATGACACATACAAGATTTAAAATGAAGTGAAAATGATAATGTTGAAAGAAATTATATCAAAATTTGCTTTAACTTAATCTTCTACTGAACTTTGGTTTCTCACTCTCCCTCTTGCAATGTTTCTTTTTTCTCTTATCACTTGATTTTTTTTTCTACTCCAACTAAAGAAGCACAAGCAAGTAGGGATGACAATTAAACCCATATCTCGTAGGAACCGACCCGTCCCCGTCCCGAGTTTGATGGAGAAAACCTGAATTGACCGGGGCGAGGCGAAGACGAGTAACGCAATCCCTACCCCGACTTTTATATTTAGATTTAAAATTTAAAATATTAATATTTTAAAAGTATTTTGTTTTATTTTTCTATTATATATAATGTCATTTTTTTATATTTTACCAATTTTTATTTTTCTTCTACCCACTTTTTAATTTTTTTATCTTTTTTAATCTTTTATATCAATTAATTTATTACATTATTCTCTCTTACCTTTCAATTTTTCATATTTCCTTAATCTCTCCCATCAATTTGTTTTTTTTTCAATCTTTTCAACCAATTTGATGAACACAAAGTTAATTTTTTTATCTTTTTTAAAATATTTTACATAAATATTAGTAGTAACTAATTTTATTTTATTTATGATTTATATTTATTAAGTTTTATTATGTTATATTTTTTATTTTATTATTTTTATTTATCATATATCAAATTTTATCTTAATAAAATAATTGTATTTTAAAGGATTAAAAGGAATTGATAATTTAAACTTTTATTACTTCGAACTAATTAAATAATAATTAATTTATTAAATATTTCCTTATAAACTATATATTTCATATTTTTAAATGACAACTTAAAAATGAATTAACTTATATATATATATATATATATATATATATATATATATAATCAAATGTTTGAATACAATATTATAATAATAATGTTATAAGTATTCAAATATTTGAATAGAGTATTATAATAATAATATTATAAATATTATATATATATAATAATTAAATATTTCTTTTATATACATATTTTAATATAAATATAATAAATTAAAATGTATATTTAATTAATAATAATTATAAATATTTATTTATATATAAAAAATACATAGTAAAATTAATTTATTATAAATATAATTATCTTTTTAAAAATAATATAGATCGAGAATGAAACGGGGATAGGACTGGACGAGAAACTCGAAATCTAGCGAAAATGAAGATAATGACTTAATTTTTAATCCCGACAAGAATCAAGAATGGAGATGAAGATGGTTTAAAAAGTCAAAAATGGGGATTAGAAAAGTAAATCCGCCTCCATCCCCGTTGCCATGCCTAAAAGCAACGAGGGATGAGGAAATTTGCATCATAGACATGTAATTGAGAGTTACTACAAGTGTATCAATATAAGATAAAAAAAATGTCAAAGTATTTTCTTATTATGCATTATTTTTTTTCTAATTTCTGGAAACAAAAATAAATTAAAGAGTTTTTATCACTTAAATTAAAACTCATAAATATTTTAATTCCTCGTATAAATTATAATAAAAGTATAATAATATAATATTTAATATTAATGAAGAAAAAAATCATTAATAGACAAATTAGGTGTTTTGGACACTTACTAATTTCAAATTTGATTCTCTAACCATAAAATTTAAGTCGTTTTAATATTTTAATTTTTGAATTTAAATCAAATTGATCTTTTGATTTGTTAAATACTTAAATGGTGACATAATATATTTTATAATCGTCATAAAAATTAAATATGTTAGTAGACAGAAATGTCTTCTTGAATTAAATTTGAAAGATAAAAAAATAATTTATTTTTTAAAACATAAAAAATAAACTAAATAAAAAAATAAATAAAAATTATAATTTAACCACAAAAATAACTACAATCATGCCTTTCACCAAAATAAAGAAAAAAATTCACGAAGAAAAACTTTAAGAAAAGAAAAAACAAAAAACTATAAGAAATTTGGCTTGTTTCGCCCATTCACACTAACGAAGATTGAAGAATAGTCAACGACTGCGCCCTATCCGTTCCATACTGGTTCCTCATCAAATCAGGTGAGCAACAAAACCAAACCAATCACCTCTTTCGTTACCCTTCTGATTTAATTTAATGCATGTTTTGGTTTTGACCTTCTAGAACACTCCATTACTATAACAAAGTTGCACTTCGATTTGTTTTCTCACCAACTTCCCAACTAAACTCTTCTTCAGTAAATACAAAACCTTTCGAACTCTCAGCCTCGTCCCAAATAAAAAAGAAGAAGAAGAAGAAGAAAAGTTACGTGTTTATAATTTCCTCCCAATACTGAGAAATTTTGTCAGCAACTCAGCACAATTAGAGCACCCTTTTGGAAATCGTGTTTGCCAAAGCCTGAGTTTTGGGCTAGTTGATTGAAGTTTATAGTTTTATAGGTTTTGGTGGCTAAACCCTGTTCAGGAAATTCAGTGATTTGGCTTATTGTCAGTGAATATGGTTGCAAATGAAGATGCTGCGCAGGAATTTGAACCAAAGAAGAAGCCACTTTCAGAGGATGAGAAGAGGTAATTTTTTTTTTTCTTTTTTTTCGTGCTTTGGCTCTGATGGTATGCTTCAGGTTGTCGTAGTTGTGTTATAAGTGTTGTTTCTCTGTGAAAATGAAGGAAGAAGAAAATTGAACCTGGGAGTTTGATGAAAGCTTTGATTAGGCCCGGTGGGGGTGATGCTGGACCTTCAGATGGAGACCAGGTTATTTCTGTTTTTGTAGGTTGTGAATGTGCATTCTTATGTTTTATGTAGGCAACCTAGAAATGCTTTGGTAAGGGAATTAATGGTTGTAGTGCTTGCTTTAGTGGCTTGATGTTTATAAATGAATTTGTTATATGATAATGTGTCTTAGATTATCTATCACTGCACCGTTCGAACTTTGGATGGAGTACTCGTGGAATCTAGCAGATCTGATTATGGAGGTGAGGTGATTTAAGCAGTTTGGGACCTTTTCAGTGTGTTTGGATTGACAAGATGATAGTCACTTATGTTGATTTTGTTTAGACTTCATTATTCATCAAAACGGACTCGTTTGAGAATTGCCACTGATTGAGAACTTCTTGTTAGTTCTTTTTGTCAATTCCCAGGGGTTACGGATACTTGACTTGACAAAAAAAGAAAAAAAATTCCATAGTGAAACACTCCACTATTGAAAAATTTTGAAATTGGAATTTTTAAATTTGTGAATAGGCTTCAAGTGAATATGTTCCAAATTATTATCTGTTGTAGTTAGCCTAGTTGCTGGGTTTGATAACGTTTATGTCATTGCAACAGGCAAAGGCACCCCAATAAGACATGTTTTGGGCAAAAGCAAGATGTTATTGGGCTTACTACAAGGAATTCCTACAATGTTAAAGGGCGAAGTGGCAATGGTAACATTCTAATTATTGAATATTATTGCCTTTGATTATACCTTTTTACGGGTGACGATAGGCTCGAGTCATCTGTCTCAAGCTTAATCCATAATATGTTGGAGCTTCTCATTGGTCTTTATTTATTATGATTTTGAACTTTAAACCTTAATGTTTATTTGTATGTTTAGTTTAATATTACTTCTACTGTGCTAACATAACAATGGAAGTTGTAAGCATAATCATCACTTCTACTATTATAATGAAAGAGGAGGAAAATTGAATGTTACATTCTATTTTAATGAATTAAATTGTTGATTTTCTTGAGCATTATTTCTTGCTTTGGTTTTGGGTGCTCCTATCTGTGTTTTTTCTAATGGTTTTGATGCATCATCGTTGGGATTTTTATTGTTTTCTTGAATATATTAATGGTTTGAGTAATCAATATTTCTGGGGGATAATGAATTTCAAATTCTAATGTTCCACGGGCCTTCCAATGGTTTCTAGGGAAATGACTTTGGTGTATCCTTAGTTGATAATTTGATGTGAAGACAATTCTGATCTGAGCTGGCTTCTTTTTCATTCCCCCTCAACTCTTCTCTTTCTATTAGGCAGTTTTTGTATTCATTGTTTGTGATTTTTTCTTTAATATATATATATATATATATATATATATATATTTTAAATTAAAAAGGAGTAATCTGATTATACTGAATTATTTTTATTAATTATATTGTATTATTTATTGTTGCAGTTTAAGATGAAACCTCAGTTGCATTATGGTGAGGACGATTGTCCTATTTCTGCTCCTGATGGTTTTCCTAAAGAGGATGAACTTCATTTTGAAATTGAGCTGATAGAATTTTTCAAAGCCAAGGCAAGGATGTCAACTTTAAGTTTTGTTTTTATTCTAATGTTTTTGTTCTATATCTGTGTTATCCTTCTCATGTATCAAAATTAAAATAATTCTTCTCATTTGTTTATCTTTCTCAACAGTTAGGGTTTTTGTTTGACCCATGTTTCTTCATCCTTATTTTGATATTCATCAGTATTATTGTTGTGTTTCCTGTTACTGCAGTACCAATTTTCTGTGTTTTATTTTTTGTCTTTTTGTTATTAACTATTCCTTGTTAGATCTCTTTGTTGAAATCCTCATTTCCTGCTTTTTGTGAATATTTCCAGGTTGTTACTGATGATTTGGGAGTTGTGAAAAAGGTATACATGGATAGAATGTATTGCTGCATAGTTACAAATTTATTTTTCACGTTTCTATCATCTTGGATGGATCTCATGGGAAATATGAAAAACCTCAAAATGAAAAGGGAAAATGAGCTGTGATGTGTCTGACTGACATGAATGTTCAATACATACCTGATAAGGGAAATTGGAACTGTATCCCTTTTTTTGAAGTTAGGCTTCATAACATGCTTTTAAAGTGTGGTTGTGTGTAATTACCAAAATTGCAGGTGAATGCAGCCTTGATTGTGGTTGTGTTGATTTTGCAAACATTCAATTTAAAAATTGCTTCATGTATTAGGAAGAATTACTGTCTTGTATTTACTCATCTAAATACAAGGTAAAAGGAAGAAGAACAAAACCCGTGAAAAAAGTGTCTATTAAACTGTGAAGGAAACAGAGGTAACTTTGGGGAAAATTTTACCCAAAAGAACCCCAAACAATGCTGTTCCATTCATACAAATGAGTTTTTGAAGGATATATCAAGGCACTCCTGCTATAATGTGCCAAAAGCTGCTATTTAGAAAACTTGTCTGCTTTTTGAATCCCATAGTGGTCTAGGGCTGCTTTGCTCTGCTACTATGCTATAGCTTGATATTGACTACTATTGTCAGAGGAAGCATCAATATGTTTTTATTAGGTTTTATATCTTTTTATCCCTGCAAAAATGACAACTTTTGTGTTTAGTCCTTCAATATTTTGCCTGCTTTGGTCCTTGTTAAGGTAATTTCCTTTTAGAAGGTCACTATAACCATTTAGTGATGATGTAGCAACTATTCATGGCAAATTTAGTGACAACTTTAAGATGGCATTTGATATGACATGTAGATCTGTTTCCTGTCCTTAGTAAATGGTGACAGGGACTTATTTTAAAACACTTTTATTGTGAAATTTTTTTGTGAATGAAGTATTTACAATTTTTTCTATTTCAAATCAAGATAGAGTTCTATGATTATTAAATCTTCGGTATTTATAGTGATATGCAGAAATTCTGAGATAATTGGAAGTGTTCCTTAATTTGTTGGAAAGTTTGCCTGAATATTTTGGAATTTCCATATAGTTTTTACATCATGTGTTGTCATGTGTGTATCTTGTGAATAGCAAGTCAAAACTGGAAAGGAGAATTTGGTCTGGAAAGATCTTCCAAGTATTGTGAAGTTTCAGTCATTGTCATCCGATAATCTCTATCACACTATTTGTTTATTTTCTGAAGTTAGCTCTCTGAATGTAGGTAGTACATGAAGGGCAGGGTTGGGAATCTCCAAGAGAACCTTACGAAGTAAAAGCTTGGTAAAACGAAGTTTTTTTCCTTTTTACTATTGTTTATCTCTTCTCACGTCAGGGCTGTGTAATGGATTGATGGGAGTTGCTGATGATATTTTATTTGGTTGCTACCAGGATTTCAGCAAAGACAGTTTCTGGGAAATTGATCATGTCACATTCAGAAGGAGAACCATACTTGTTTACATTTGGAAAATCAGAGGTATTTAAATCACATTGTGCCTTTGTTAATTGTAATGATGGTAATATAAGCCTAATAATTAGTTGGTCTCTCTTAAGATTCCAAATATTTAGGTTAGGCTATGATCCTTTTTGTTTCCTTTCCTGATTGCAGCCAGCCATGCAGCTTCCTTAAAATAAGTCAAGAAAAAAGTTAATTTCTTAGGCATTGTTGTGCTGCCAATATCTTTATATATGCTTTGATATCAATATTGATTTCTTTGTCCTCCTCTTAATGCAAATCAGCTACCTAAAGGCCTTGAAATGGCAATAGGAACAATGGTTCGGGAGGAGAAGGCTGTTATATATGTTACTGCTCAGTATTTAACTGAGTCTCCTCTGATGCCTGTAATAGAAGATTATGATGAAGTTCATTTTGAAGTGGAGCTAGTTCACTTTATTCAGGTGAGCAACATTTTCCACTATAGAAATCATGGTTTACTATTGAACTTGTCTGTTGTGGCATGTAAGTGTTGAAAGATATATTATGATGTGCTGGAGAATGAACATTTCTCAGCATTCTCATTTGTTATCTACTATACTAAACTTCTGAGGGTATTCACTGATATAACTTTCTTCTATCTTGAGTACCTATAATCAATTTTTTACCCAAATATTGCATGATGGTAGGGCCCTAAATGATTCAGTATAGGGCTTGTAATTATGTTTTTATATCTGTCAGTCATATAAGAGTACCTCATTATATTTTTTAAGTGTCTAGAGGTCAGACTTGGCTGATTAACTATTACCGACTTGTTTTTCAATTTTCTTTCCTTTCTTTGTCACTCTCTTCTCATGCTATAAAGCTTCACAAGAATTATAAATAATCAGCTACAACATTAATGTTGTGCCAACATTTTGTACTTGAAGATTTTGTTGTGATTCATGATGTAAAAAAGTTTATATGAACTGTAATTAGTTATATTCATAAGCTTATTCCAAGACCTGGATTTTATCCTTTTTATTATTCCTAGTGGTGTCTGAAACAAGTGCTTTGCTTTTATAACTTTTTCCTACCAAGATATCGTTCAGTTGAATTTTCATCTTATTAACATATCAATAGGTGAGGGACATGCTTGGAGATGGGCGCCTAATAAAACGCCGAATTCAGGATGGCAAAGGTGAGATTATATAGTTATTTTACTGTTACCAATCTTACATAAAAGGTTTCATAACTTATTTTTAGTCTATAGGTAAGAGAAAAATGAACTAAAAAAGAAAGGTATGGAAAATAATATTGTCAAAAATGCCGGTTAATGCTTGAATTTATATTAAAGGTGTTACAATTATTGTTTTGTTTCTCACAATTTTAATATTGTTCTTTTGTTAAGGTGAAGGAACTAAATTTTTAATTATATGCTTGCTCACATTTTTTAAGTCCCAGTTGGTTATTGTTAATCAAAGTCATATATGATGCTGATTTAGTTTTTTTTTTTGTATATAATAGGTGATTTTCCTATGGATTGTCCCCTTCATGACAGTCTACTTCGTGTTCATTACAAGGGTACTGTTCTCAACGAAGAAAAGAAGGTATTCTATGATACAAGGGTAGACAATGATGGTCAGCCATTGGAGTTCAGTTCTGGAGAAGGGCTTGTGAGTTTCCAGCTTGAGCATAAATAAAGTCAATTTCAATTCTTTTTTTCTTTTATAGATTTTTGTGTCTGGAAATTCCTGATTTGTAATTGTTTAACGAGATGTCTGCCCATCAATTCTTTGAGTGCAATACATCACATTGCATTTGTTATTGCACCAGAATCTCATTTTCATTCTGTTTTAGGTACCAGAGGGATTTGAAATGAGTGTTCGTCTAATGCTTCCTGGAGAGATAGCTCTTGTCACATGCCCTCCTGACTATGCCTATGATAAGTTTCCAAGGTTGCTACGAATTACACCTTTTACTCTGTTGTGTTTAATGTTTCTCGAAGCATTTTAGTGCAGGCATTGCAAATTGAATATGGTTTCTACCTTAACATGCTTTGTCCTGATATCATTGACATTCTTCCTCCTTTTATGATCAGACCTTCAAATGTTCCTGAGGGTGCACATATTCAATGGGAAATTGAGCTTCTAGGTTTTGAAACGCCAAAGGTACTTTTTCAAATTGTTCAGTTAAATTCATGTTATTTACTAAAGTAGTTGCATAAATGCATTTAGCAATTATAAGACCGGTGGTTCTGTATGGTGGTGAGCGTTTTGTGAAGTAATAAGTTTGTTAGAGATCACAATGCTAATGTCATGTTTATATTCTCTATATTCTTTTCCAGTTCAGTTAGCATTCTTTAAATATTCTTGAATGAGATAGATTTCAAGTTTATTCTTTTATGAATTTGTTCTCTGGCTGAACTATGATAATCATAAGAAATAGCATAAGATAGATAGATCATATATGCTGGGTTTAATACTTTTTCAAATGTTTAACTACTAGCTTAAATGAGTTTTTATTCTTTATCTGCTTTTAGTTTCTGTTTACATGTTTCCTACCATATAAAATATCCTTAATAAAGATGAGATCAATGTAGTCACATTTGTGTTCCAACTCGTAGAATTGCACAATTCTACATTTCTATCATGCCTCAGCAAGTTTGTCTATGCTCAGGATCGCTGCTGAGCAGCATAGGTAGACATGCCATGTAGAATCATAAAAACAGTGGAATCTGGGATTTCCAAGTTGCCTGGATTATGTTTTTATGTGCCAACTTTCAGTAGTTGGTCAAGTTTCTTTCTTTTTCCCTTTTTTTTTTTTTGTTTTAAGCTTTTTTGTAAACCTATAAAGCTCAAGTTTGAAAACCAACTTTTATGTAGCCCCAACACTAATACTAGAGGAAAACACCTTCGCTGACCTGACATTACTGCATCTTCAACCTAATCTGTGTCCTTTCTCATCCAAGCCCCAAAAATATTGCATGAACCACTGCAACCGGAGCTCTTCTCTGCCATGCTTGAGGTTGTCCACCTCTGTTTGGTTCCTCTGCTATTTTTGTGTGGTTTTCTTTCTATGAAAGAAATGAGGATCTCTTGAGTGGTTATGATTTTGATTTGGATGATCTATTTTGGAGGTCTAGTCTAGGTGTTCAAGTGTTGGGTTTTGTACTAGGAGTAGTCACTTGGCACTAATATAGTATTTTAAGTTGGTTTATTTGTCATTTATGATTTGTCAGTTGAGTTTTGTATGGGGTTTAGTCGTTGACTTTCGTATGCTTATTAATCTATGATTATAAATTTAAGCTTAATTAAATATTTGGTGTGTTACACGGGTTCTTCTTCTCTTATGTTTGTTATGTTCTATGCATATATGTATTTTATTTATATATTTTGTAGGATCTTAGTTTTTGGGTTACGATTTCCTGATTTACAATTTTATATCCCCTTTCCAAGTCTGAATAGAATCTGGAGTTTAACTACCTTGATGAGATGACTAATGCATTGTGGTCTTACTCCTTATTACAGGACTGGACAGGATTGGACTTTAAAACTATAATGAATGAAGCTGAAAACATCAGAAACACGGTATGCATTTGAACTGCACAATTTTCTACATCTATTCCTCAGCTTGCTATTGCTGGTGTCTTGGTGGTACTTGATACTTGACACAAAAGCTGAACATGTTTATGCTCATGTTTTATGTGTTTTCTGAGCACAGTAAGGGATAAGGAACTAGTATGCTACTCTTGTCGAAATAAAGCTTTAAAATTGTTCTAAACTTTTTTTTTTTCTGAATGAGGGATGGAGGGAATTTCTTACTTCTTAACCCCTTTCTTTAGGCTATTTTTTTTATCAGTCAAGAGTATTTTTTTTTTTTCAGTAAACACTTAAGATTTGTTTTTATAGAAAGCTAAGTTACCCAATAGTGGTTAATTGCAGCTCGGGACAAGGAAACAATATGCTTCCCTGGTTGAAAAGAAGCTTTCAATTGCTTCAAGCATGTATATTCTGATTAAGCAATGACGGGTTTAATTTATTTCTTGGCCCCTTTCTTTAGGTGATTGTTTTTGAAGAGTGAAATAGTGGGTTTCCTTTTGTGTTTCTTTCAAAATAATAAATATAGGATATTTATTTTAATAGACAGCTAAGTATCCAATTGTGGAGGGTTTCACTTAACAACCACTGTCGGCCCAGGGTGTAAATCTCAGCTATGTTTGCAACGTATTCAGTTAAATACCAGAAAAATAGTCAGCAAGTTGACCACAGTTATACTGAATTTATTCAAATCTATTTGAGGACTAGGTGGCAATGGCACTTTATATATACAAATTTATTTGTATTTTTGTTGTCATTGTTGCCATTCAGTGTTACATTTTGACAATATATAACCCTACATTGAGAACATCTGTTAAACATTGATTTGAACTGTGTTGAGCAGAATTAAGAATAAGGGAAAACATTTAAGCTAAGAAAGCTGTCTTCAGCGGTTATAGACCTTCTGTTGGTGATCCATGATTACTGCTCTCTTAGCTATGCTGAAATAATCATAAAAAAAATTGACCAATGAACATTCAACGAAAATCTCAATATATATTGTTTTGTTAAGATTATTATTATTTTGTAGATGATTATTTCCTAAAAGTGTCATTCATTTTCTTTCAAATCTTGCCCTCCTGTAAAGATTAAATAATTCTGGCTTATTTGGCTAATGCTCATTATTTGTTTTCATGCTTGTACTACAATCATTTACTTAAGGTATTGGACATCATGATAGGTTTACTTTTTTATTTTAATCAAAATGAAAGAAAGTTGAATGTTTCATTGTATTATTGTCTTTCAGGGTAACAGGCTGTTCAAAGAAGGGAAATATGAACTTGCCAAGGCAAAGTATGAAAAGGTATTCACCTTTCTCTTTTGTGCTAAGTTGAATCTTAAGCTCTTCGGTATTTTTGTTAACATTTTTCTCATAGAAAATTTAGTCACTGGGCTCAATTTTTGGATGGACTAGCTGTGTGTGCTGCTATAATACATCCTCCTAGAAACTAGGTATCTAAATATTATCATCATCGAGTTGATCTTCAGTTATGGTGGTGTAATGACACACCTTGGTCTTGTAAGGACTGGGATAGTTGATACCGAGGATTTGGATCCTAGTTACTCATTTTCCCAGGTTCCCGGGACTTTAGTTTTGGTTGAGAAAAATGACATGAGCTAACAGCAAAATAGTTTCTGCTAACTTTATTCATACTCGCCAATGAATTTGCTGTCCTTTGATTTGAATATTATGAATTCTGTTTTTGATTTGAATACTCGCCAATGACTTTGTTAAAAGAACTGGATTTGTATGTTACATGTATTGGATTTCTGTTGTATATTCCATGATAATTGGATTTGTATTTTACTTCGACTTTTATTTTTGGCTCTGAATGGAAAACTATGCCATTAAACTTATTAACATTATGTGGTAGTTTGTAACAGTTGCTTCGAGAGTTTAATCATATTAATCCTCAAGATGATGAAGAAGGAAAGGTTTTTGCAGACACACGAGTGAGTGTTTTTTTTTTTGTCCCTTTCCAAGTATATTAAATAAAGGAAGCATATTTTACTTGACATAATTAAGCTTTGGTAGGTTGGTTTAAATTCAGACTAAATCTTTTTATCTCTTTCACTCCCATTATTGAAGAATTTGCTACATCTGAATGTTGCTGCATGCCATCTAAAATTGGGAGAATGCAAAAAGTCCATTGAGACTTGCAATAAGGTATGCTTGATGACCTCGGCTATCATATATCTATAATTATATTAATTGGATGAAACACGAGCAATAGTTGATTTTCGTACTTTAGAGTTTAAGTAGATATTTTGATAGAAAAACAAGTCATGGATTTTATTTATAATTAAGAATGTTCTGTTGCAAGTCCATCTGAGATATTAAGCTGTACCCTGTTCAAGTGAGCTCTTGTAATTAATCTGACTCAATCACCAAGACACCTTAACACACCCCCTTTTTACCTAAAGACTAAGACATCTGGAATGTGAAGCTACAAGACCAGACGGTTGAGGAGGGTAGCTCAACATTAAGATTCAATAGCCTCGTATACCATATTAATAAATGAATTACATCTAACTCTTCTTCAAAAGCTAGCTTAACTTGAAGAGGATTGCCCATGTATTATTTGTTATTGTCCTCATACCCTAACCAATGTAGGAATAACAGTATTAAAGTATATATACCTATATTTTCTCATGGTATATACTTAAAGGAGTTAGTAATTATCACTTTACTGTTCATTCATGCATATTAAGCTTCTATCTGTAGGCCATTTTCCTTTTCTGTTTTGGCTTAAATCTGGTTTCTGGTATTTTATTTTTTGTCTGTATTAATTTTTCCTGTTGTCTTGTTTTCTTCAATGAATCATGCAGGTTTTGGAAGCAAATCCTGCACATGTCAAGGGCCTTTATCGACGTGGAATGGCTTACATGACAGCTGGAGATTTTGAAGAAGCAAGAGCTGATTTCAAAATGGTACAAATTCATGTATAACAAGCTTACCATCTAAACCTGTATTGTTATCCGTTTCTAAAATCACTTTAATGCTATTTTAGATGATGAAAGTTGACAAGTCAACTGAATCAGATGCAACTGCAGCTCTTCAAAAACTGAAGCAGAAGGAACAGGTCGTTTGAAATCAGTTATTTTGATTATGTGCTTTAGTTGAGACATCAATGAATGAAATATTGACATTTTATTCTTGTATCAATTCATCTGCAGGAAGTTGATAAGAAAGCTAGGAAACAATTTAAAGGGCTATTTGACAAGAAGCCTGGAGACATTGCAGAAGCTAAAGCGGATGTTGATGGAGATCAAATAACAAGTGAGAGCCAGAAGGATGATGAAGTACATGGAGACTCTGATGGAACAAATTCAGAGGATTCACATGAAACCCCGCCTGAGACACCTCGAACTAGTTGGTTCTCTCTCTTTTGGCCTTCTGGTAGAAGTCTTTTTGAATCTCTTGGGCTTAATAGGTGTACCATACTTTAATTTAATTTCCAGGTCATTTTAACACTGATATTTAAAGAATGAGAGTTAAGGTATTTATAACTTTTATGTTAGTCCGGGGATTTCATGCTATCTGCCCAAAGATTTTTGTTTTCAACTTTTACATTGTAATAAGTAAAACCATTCATATATACATTGAATTAAAGTAAGTAAAAGCATACTAAGAAGCAATTGTTGAAACTGCAATAGTATCTCCCAGTTATTGTTAGGCACCAAGAATTGGAAAAAGATTTTTTTTTATTTATTTATTGAATAAATGAAAAGAATAAAAAACAGGAGAGAATTCTCTCCTTCAGGGTTTCCTTCCTCAAAATATTTCTCCTTACCCTTTTTCCCCGTAGCATCCTCCTATTTATTTAACTCATTAATCCCTTAACTAACTCGTCAATGTCTTAATTGTATCAACTAAGGGGATGATTACATCGTGGGCCATGATACCTAAAATGGAATTTTTTTTTTCTTGTGTTGATACGTGACATTAGTTTCTCTTTATGGTATGATAAGGGTATAAATGACAAAGTTCTGTAAACATTTCATTTTAGTTATTTCTTTTTCGAATTTTGCTATATTTTGGTTAAAGTTGTCATTTGTGCTGTATACTTCATAGATTTGTTGGGTGCCCTCAATCACTGTTCTACTTCTACATTATCTGCACACCCAAAGAAGTATTAGGAAGTTGTCTTGTGGAAAAAATACAGTTCTTACAACTTAGGAGCATGCATGATTTGATAATATTTTCTATTTTTACAAACAATTTTAAGGATATTATATTATTTTCACTTTGAATTTAATTTTTTAAAATTGTGTGCAAGAAATAGTATAAAATAGCATACATAGTTTATATCATTTTTGCATACAAAAATGCAGCAGTTTTATAATTATCTGTAAAAAGGTCATTTCTCAAATTGAACAAACATTTAAGAATTAGAAATCAGCCTATTGATTGAGTGAAATACTTTTAGATTGTCATTAAATTACAAATTATCATGTATGGTAAATTTGTCAACCTTATTAACTTATTTATTTCTAATTAGTTGATACTGTAAGGTATTGAGGGAGTCCAACCCTAATATTGAACATACACAATTGTGTTGTGAGTCTTTTTATATTTGCACATATAACAAGTTGCAAGTTTGAGCACGAAAATAAAAAAGGCTACTTAATTAATGAACGTCATAGTTGCAAACATTGAAGAAAAATACAATAATATGTTGTAGAAAGTAGGGAAGATGAGCATGGGGCCATAGACATGGTGCATTAGGTCATAGAATCTAAAGCAATAATTGTGCTTAGGTTCATTGGATGCATGTAGTCGGTGGACCCTGTCATGAACTTATCCACAATTAATCTATTTGCTCTCTCTGATGGATGGAAAGGGTCCCAAAATGCATATATATCCCTGTTTGGACACAAGTTAGAAGCAGGAGTGCAGAGTCCGATTCCATTGTATGCTCCTTGACCACAGCATGCTACTTTTGATGTAACAAACCCTGTGGTATCAAAGTAACAGAGAGGATAATAAATGCCTCCTAATGGGAAAATTGCATTGCAGTTATATGCTTCACGTAGATTTCTCGAATTATTATACACACAGAAGTTAGTTGACAATCATAATGGCCTCGATTGGGTTATGCAAGTTCCAACTTTTATGATTGTTATAGCAGTTCTATTTGACACAGTAATGCTAATATTTACAGCAAACATAACCGTACTAGTTTACTGAGAAATCCACCACACTTCATATGTATAACCAATGAGCATGGACCAGGGGCCATGGCAACCTTGTCTTTGAAATGTGGTCCCCTAGCCCCTAACCAGTTCCCTACACCATTTAACCTTATTTCTACAACTCGGTCTATTCAGAATGGGTATGGTAAATGCACTTGAACATCTTTCTCCTTTTATTTGAAGGTAGTTTTAGAAAAACATAGATGTAACTAAGATAACCAAGCATATAAGAACTGGAAGACAAAAGAAGGTGAATAGTTAACGTACCATATGCTTGTGGGTCAGTGACGAAATCCAAGTGCATGGCGAAGGCGTTTGCGGAAATGTAGACATCGGAACCAATTTGAGTGTTGAGGTCTTGCAGTAGTTGAACCAGTTGAGGATTGAACAAGTTAACGGCTCGTTGCAGCTCCGTCGCACATTCCCCGTTACGGCTGTGCATCGCCAACTCTGCTGGCACGCAACCCAATGGTCCCGTCCCCGTCACCAGAACCCGTCGTGCTCCCAACTCATACAGTTGCTGCATTAATTCATCATGCATTTACTTCACTCTTACAACCAAAACCATTTGTACAGTGACACTTAAATTAGGTCACAATTAGGTCATATATTATTAACCAATTCATGCATGTTTGTAAATTGGTGTTCATAACAGCAGTTATGGTTGCTGTTCAGGACCACAGATGTAAAACCCTAGACTTGCTCGCAATAAATGCAGCAAAAGTATTTAATTGGTTGTTACAACAAACAGAAAAGATTCGTAGGGCTTAAAACAAGGGAGAGAGGGACAGCACGCATTTACTATCATGTGTAAAATGGTTGAGACTCACTACTGCTTACACTGCATCTTCAGTGACACAATTCATGTGGCTTTTAATATTAATCACCAAAATGCATGCTTCCTCAACTACCAAACGAATCTCAACATAACATGCTTGCCTTACAAAGTCTACATTTCCATCATGACCTATCATAATAACATGAGACGATCATCTCTTGTCTAAAGTAATATATGCTATGCTTTCATAGAGTTGTAATGATCATCTTTGCTATATTGAGTTTCACGTTAATATTAATTTATATACACTTTTTTTCTTTTTATTCATCCAAATATTTTTTTAAATAAAATCACGATAAACTAAAATTCTAACTAAATAATATATTAAACGTGATTATAAATCATAATCATACTATCATACTAAACAACTACTCAAACATATTAACTTTTCTGAAGGTAGATGCGATTAATTTTCCTTTTTCTCTACCCGTTGTTTTCAGTCATTGCTAGTGTAACATCTTTTACTGTTACATGACCACACATGTCAGGGTGTAGAAGCAACCATTATGATTCAAGAAAAAAGAGTAATACTAATACATGACCACTTCTATACATTAAATACGATAACAACTAATATTCATGAACAAATACTCTTTTTAACACAGTGATCCTTACTTTTTGTGCAGACATGGTAAACTGCAACTAATAATAAAATTATGCAAGAAAATTAATGTATTAGAAGGTTGTTATTAGAACTCATGTTATGAAAAAACAAAACATAATGATATGTATTATTGCAAGCACATTAGAAGGATGGAAATACCGCAAGAATTTTACGATACTCAGAAATGAGTAAGACAACGTAGTCTGGAAGAGCATATTGGCGAGATCTGGCAGAGAAAGGAACCAAAAAATAGTTGTTGACAAAATCATTGCCACCTAGGGTTATCAGAACCAATGCTTTGTTCACTAAATCTCGCGTCTGTTCTTCTCCAATTAGGGCACTGACCCTCTGCTGATACTGTTTGAAGTACGCCAACTGTTCTGTAATTCTGATCATGTTTATCTGCATAATTTACAGTTTAGATAGATATATAACAGCTTAATGGCTACACTGCAATCTCTTATTAACAAGTAAATTTTGAGATTTCATTAAAAAAATAAAACAAAACCATGGCCTTGCAATTCCTGAACTTTGATAACCAATATTTGTTACAAAATGCTAAAAGAGTCTTACATGATTTTAAAAGACAATTTTCTTGTGCTTAGGGTGGTCAGGAATAACAACATTCAAGCTTTGAACCCAGATTAGTTTCATAGTTGGTACAAAGAACCAGGTTTATGAGAATATATTGAGATTCTATTTAAAAGCAAAAGATATATCTTCCAATTTTGTTTGAGTAATATTGATAAACTTTAATGTGATTTTGTAATCATATTTTTCTAACTACAAAAAATGAACCAAGATTTTATTAAGTTCACCAAGCTAGGTTCTCTTCAAACCAACAACTTGTAACCAATTTCTTGAATGAATTTTGGCAAATTACACATGAATATATATTTTAAGGGAAATGTAATATATAAATATATATATATATATATATATATATATATATATATATATATATATATATATATATATTTATATAGATTGACTTACAAACTGAAATCCTGTGTCATTGAGAATTCCTACTCCAGCAGAAGCAAAGTTTGCACCAACAAGCAGCTTTTCACCATTGAGCTCTGGACTCAAATATGGTAACGTGGGTTCTGAGCCAATTTTCTCACCTAAAAAAATGCATGGCATAGTTTATATACATGTACATGGATTTGACAGAAATGTTCGGCAGGTATATTTTAATTGAAACACCCCAAAACCAAATATGGAGAATAAATCAACTCTAAACAACTACAATATTATAATAAAGCAATAATAAAGATAGCAGGAACACTAAACTGATAATGTCAGGCATATTGAGGCCATTGGAGAAACGTCCAGAGGCTCTATGAGAGGCTGAGTCAATGCCATAAGGATATGAATCGGCACGTGCAGTGGTGGCTAGGTAGTTGTTATTCCCGTTATCCACAAGCGAATCACCAAACACGAAAAATGCTCGTGCCTCAGCTTGTGGAGCCACAATGCTGAAGGTGATAAGAAAACATAAAAACATAGATTTAGAAGAAACCACCCTTTTGTTGTTTTGTTCCATGGGAATGCCACCACGAAACCCAGAACAATGAAGAATGCTGTTCTAATCTCCCACACTATGATCTTGCAGCTGAATGATGATGTTAGGTGTCTTATATAATGCTCTCGATCAATTTTTGTGGTCTTTGTTGTGACTAATTAAATGGCTTCGGCTACCACTATGTTGTAATTATAGTGCCTCAAAAGTTTTTAGTTTTAGAAGAATTTACATAAAATTAACCTCTCTTCCAGATAGTAATGAGCAACATGTAACTAGAAGCGTTAAATGTTATATATAATGCATGAAAATTGAACTGTCTATAGAATTTACAGAGCTTCAATTACTTTTGACAGCGTTACAGCGTGAAAATGCAACGTGGCCTACACCATATTAATGATGCTTGCACATCTTACATGCATCTCCAGCTAAGATCCTGCACATGAGCAAGAAAGCTGAATCAAGTGGCTTTATATTTTTACTACAACACAAGGTGCTCCAACTAAGTGAAACTATTATGACTGGTAAAGCTTCTTTCTGATTATTTTAAAATACTACATTCAAAGTTCAAACTTGTTGAAACCGCTAATTGAGTTGACAATAAATGCACAACTAAATATATTTCTTGTGAGAAAAGTATTTATTATAAAGAGTAAATATACTATAACCTATATAGAGATCTAAACAAACAGTCTATCCAATCCAATGCATAGGGGACTGATGTGAACATGAACTATGATAAGGGCTAGAGCAAGGGAAACAAAGGAAGCTCTTCAACAAGTATTGTTGGTTGACCAAATTGTGTTTTGATCAATTAATGGGCTTTAGTTTGATTTTGTTTTAAGTTGTCATAAGGGCCCAATTGAAAATTTAGTCATTAGCCTTTGGGAGACCAAGGGGTGCATAGCTGATTGACTTTTGGTTGCCACAGTTTCAAATACAATCAGTCATTAAGTAGTTTCAATTCCTAGGTTAATGGATCATTATTAGCCTTTATTTGTTTCCATTAAATAGTTTTCAATTCCTAGATTAATGGATTATTATTAGTATTTATTTTCTTTTATTGAGTCTTTTGTAATTCTAATGGCAACGCTTCTATATCAGTTGAACCATTCTTATCAAGAAATAACAAGTGAAATTTTATTCAGAAATATTAGAGTTTATCTTTTTTATCTTAGTGAGAGTGATTCTCCTAAATTCTTGAGTGATTCAAGAACCCTTGGCTGTATCAAAGGACTGTAACATCCTTTGTGTGTTGCCTCCCTTGGAAAGAGTGATTCTTTCCTTCCACCTTCTTTCAAATTCCTAAATTTCTTACAAGGTTCTAACCCTAAAAATCCTAAATTACCCCTTGTGATTCATATCATTTGGTATTCAGAGCTCCGGTTTAAGGGTTTAAACATCAAATTGATGGCAGAAGAGGAAAATTACAATCAAGAAGCAGGAATTAGTCCAATTCAAATGAGAGTATTGTTACAACATTTGGAAAGATTAATGATACGACATAACAATGAGCTCCATGAAAGATTGAACCGGTTGGAGAATAGAAATTCTGAAGACGAAGAAGAAAGGAGAAATAGGAGAATGAATGATGGAGTAACAAGACCAAGTAGGCTTGAAGGAGTCAAGCTTAACATTCCTCCGTTCAAAGGAAAAAGTGATCCAGAAGCATACTTGGAGTGGGAGATGAAAATAGAGCATGTTTTCTCATGCAACAATTATGAGGAGACCCAAAAGGTGAGGCTTGCAACAACAGAATTTTCTGACTATGCTCTTGTTTGGTGGAACAAGCTACAAAAGGAGAGAGATAGAAATGAAGAGCCAATGGTTAATACATGGACTGAGATGAAAAGGATCATGAGGAAGCGGTATGTGACGGCTAGTTATGCAAGGGACTTGAAATTTAAACTCCAGAAACTTACTCAAGGTAACAAAGGGGTTGAGGAGTATTTCAAGGAAATGGACATGCTCATGATTCAAGCAAAGATTGAAGAAGATGAAGAGGTAACTATGACCCGATTTATTGGTGGTTTGAATATTGATATATGTGATATTGTTGAGTTGCAGGAGTTTGTTGATATGGAGGATTTACTTCATAAAGCAATTCGAGTGGAGCAACAACTCAAAAGAAAAAAAGTGACTAAGAAGAGTTCTACTAACTTTGGATTTTCAAGTTGGAAGGACAAAGGCAAAAAAGATGGGATTGTTACTTCTAGTAGTTCCACACCTATTCCTACAAAGACTCATTCAAAATATGAAGAACAACCCTCTAAAAAAAGTAGAGATGTGAAGTGTTTCAAGTGTCAAGGCCTAGGATACTATGCTTATGAGTGCCCTAACACAAAGACCATGATTCTTAGAGAGGGAGAATATATAAGTGAATCAAAGACCATGATTCTTAGAGAGGGAGAATATATAAGTGAATCTGAGGTTGAAGAGGGAGAAAAGAGTGAAGACTCTGACACTACAAGAAAAAAGGCTATTACCTACGGAATATTACCTATGGGTAAAAATCCGTAGGTAAATTTTACATTACCTACGGATTTTACCTACAAAAGTATGTTCGTATATAAATTATCTATTATCTACGGAATTTACCTACGGATGTGAGGATTATGCATTACCTACGGATGTAGGAGGTATGTAATGTTTTTTTACTACTTTACCTACTCATTTACCTACGGATGTTAAATAAAAAAAAAGAAAAAACCCTCGTTACACTTCCTCCGCGCCTCACTCAAGCTCCCTAACTCCTTCCTTCGTCTCCCTCAATTTCACTAACCTCCTCTATAACCCGCCACCCACCTCCTTCACCAGAACCCTAGCTGCAGCCTCCCCACTCTCGAGCACCCCACACGGTATCCTCATTTGAACCCATATACCCGTCACCACCAGGCTTCTTCCCCGTCACCACCACAACCATACCCGTGCCCTAATTCCACCTTCACTCACCAAAGCTTCTCACCAACGCAGAACCACCCCGCAGTCGCACCACATCTTAGCTTTCAGCCTCCAGATTCTCGCCCAATCACCCTCATCGGAACCACCACATCTCACGACCGCGGACCCCCCTTTTCGCAGAAACCCCGTCTTCGCGGCCTCCACCACCATCTTCATGATGCACCGCCACTGTGAGGTCGTCGTCCCCTTCGTCGAGCCACCGCAAGGCCAAGTCGCAGTCGCGGCCTCACCCTAATCCAACCTCCACCAAAGCCCCTCGTCATCCACGACAACCACCACCATCGAGCGTCCCAACCCCCACTCCTCACCACTAACGTCTCCACTCTGCTCCACTTCCCTCCTGTGTTGAATCTCTCCCTTCGCCCCAAACCACCGCGCACCACTGCCCATAGCCGGCCACCGCGAACCCAGCCGCAAATCAACCTCCAGGTCAGGACGCCACCACACCCCCTGTCGTGCAGCATCCCTGCAGCCTAGAACTTGAGTCACCTCGACGCCGGCTGCGGTCACCGCCTCTCCTCGCTCCAGCCCACCCCCATTGTGCCACTGAGCTCGCTGTGAGCTAGATGTGAGATATAGAGGCAGCGAGTTAAGCCTGGTATTATGCTTTAATCCTATTTCTTTCACATTTTTTGGAGTCTGAACTGTTCTGCTTAGTTAACTATTAAGCCCGGGTCTGGTTTATTTGCATATGAATCATTGAATTGGTGGCTCTGTTAGTTGAATAAGATCTTGGTTTATTAAGGTTTTTTGTACCGTTATTTCTGTTTAGTTTGACTTGAATCTGTGGTTTTCACTTGATGAGGTTGAGACTGGTGTTATCCAAGTCCTATTGGCTTGGTTCATGTCTCTGTGGCTTAGTTTCTTGGTGGGTGAGTTAAGAATGTGTTTCCACCTTACAAATGCTTCATAATCATGACCCCAAAAAACTTATGAGCATATTTGACAAATTTAGGTCCAGTTGGATCCTTCTAGAGCGATTTACAAAAATGTTCATTATAACATCAAAAATGGAAGATTAGGTCATAAGTTAGAAAATAAAGGGAAGGGAAGTGGATACTCATGAATACCCTGATATGCCTTCAACTCTGGTGGGTGATTGGAGTCAAATTTAACTAAACTCAACTTTATCAGTTTGTTGGATATTTTGAATTTCTTTAGCGTATCTGTAAGTTGATAAAATATTTTTTATGGATATGGTTGTTTAACTGATGAATGTAATTGTTTCCATGTGTGCTTGTGAACAAATCATGCTACTTAACGTGCCTCCATGGCCCCTCTCCTCCATATTCCTGTTATGCTTAGATTAATTGACCCATGCATTTAGTCCTGTGTCATTCTGACTTAATTATTGATGAGTAAGTAGATTCTGTTTGTAAAAATATTACATCATATATGTGAACACAGTTAATCCCCATGTTAGTTGTTAGAACATTAAGCATGTACAATGAAATTTTACCGGGACAATTTGAATTTTGTTATATATTTTTTGTGTGAATCTTGTGTGCTTCTCAGTAGAAAATCCTCTCTGCTGAAGACCTAATTTGTAAATGTGTCTTCTCAGTTGGGAAGATTAGGTCATAAGTTAGAAAATAAAGGGAAGGGAAGTGGATACTCATGAATACCCTGATATGCCTTCAACTCTGGTGGGTGATTGGAGTCAAATTTAACTAAACTCAACTTTATCAGTTTGTTGGATATTTTGAATTTCTTTAGCATATCTGTAAGTTGATAAAATATTTTTTATGGATATGGTTGTTTAACTGATGAATGTAATTGTTTCCATGTGTGCTTGTGAACAAATCATGCTACTTAACATGCCTCCATGGCCCCTCTCCTCCATATTCTTGTTATGCTTAGGTTAATTGACCCATGCATTTAGTTCTGTGTCATTCTGACTTAATTATTGATGAGTAAGTAGATTCTGTTTGTAAAAATATTACATCATATATGTGAACACAGTTAATCCCCATGTTAGTTGTTAGAACATTAAGCATGTACAATGAAATTTTACCGGGACAATTTGAATTTTGTTATATATTTTTTGTGTGAATCTTGTGTGC